AATAGCGTTAAGAAAGCTTTATTGATTTGATGCTAAGTGTTTTTGCCAGAAAGTTGCGGATCCCTTTTTCCAGGGGAATACGAGAGTATTTATACAAGTCTAAGTCGGCTAGGTCTAACAAATAAGAGATAAAGAAGTTTTCCGTATTTCTCGGGATTTCCTATTTCTCGTAGTCGGCGCTTGCCACGGGCTTCGCCAACATGGACCTGACCTTGCCATCTCGTCATGTTGCCATCCTGGCAATTTGGGCTCATGTTCTCGGCCCAACTTCACGTAGTCGGCCCAAATAAGTTAATATGGATCGACTTCGTCGAGCTTTCTACTGYGCCGTTGTCACGAGGGTTAGTGGTCGGCTCAACTGKTGGTTGGCAGTGACAGTAGTCGGCAGAAGTGGAGAAGTTGGCAAGAAGCATAAATGGTCGGCGGATCATGCCAGTGCTAGATGAAACGAGCTACTCTGGCAAGTTGTCCAGGTCTTCAGAGTGAACTAGACACCTTCCTATTTACATTCATTTCTGTACTTAGCCATTTTACAAGAGAAAAACTGTCGGAGGGAGTTTTGACCCCAACACGTATCCTTGCTTTTTACACATGTAACATGCATCTCTTGTGTAGTTTTAGATCTAGAAGACCTACCTTGGTCTACAACTTGCTAGATTTGTATTAACCCAGGATTTGTATCCTCACGGCTTGCTTCTTTTGGAGGGTAAATGGCTTGGTTCTGTTGGGGCAGGCTGTGAATCCCACATGATCCACTTGAGCTGTCCCCATGTTTTTACTGTTGGTTCGTTGTACCATCTTCTATCATTCTCTTCTCGGTTCCACCATCATAGAGCTTTTCCTGAGAGTTGTCCAAGTGCATAAATTCTTGTGGAATGGAATAGCATTGGAAGTACTCTTCCATGTTTTGGATCCACAGTAGATAATCTCTTAAGTCTTGACTCCCTGTAAATTCATAATATAGAGACAAGTCATCAAAATCAGAATCATCATCTAGAGTTACCCATGTCTTGATTTGGTGTGAAATTTGTGGCGTGGGGGTCCAAATGTGGTCTGGTGATTCTAGTTCAATTTATTCCAGGCCTGGATCTTTTTCATAGACTCCATTGGAGTCTTCATCTTCTTTTCCCCACCATAGCAATCTTTGCACTATAATTCTC